TAAATTGGAGGCCATCGCTACTAGGGTGGAGGCCATTGCCCTTAGGTGGAATGTCATTGTACCAGTAGTAGGTTGGAGGCCATTGCTAGTAAATTGGAGGCCATCGCTACTAGGGTGGAGGAAAGACTTTACGGCATCTGATGACATCTCTTCACCGTTTTGGGGCACCAGCGGCGGCCCGAGTAGCTGTTGACAGAGTTGTTGGATGCAAAGGGGAGCAATGACAGAACCTGACACGAACAGTTGCGACACGGCTGTTCAAAGCACACATTGAACAAGAGACACTTCGGGCAAAGAGCAAGAACTCACCCTCTTCAAGGCCAATCTCGCAAGGCTGCACGCCCACCATGAAGCCTCAATCAGTCAATGTGCTTTTGAAGTATTTTGGAAGCGCATTTCCATTGCTAATAGGTTGGAGGCCATCGCTATAGTAGGCTGGAGGCCATCTCAATTATGGTGGAGGCCATAGCTATTAGGTTGGAGGCCAAACTTGTCAGCGTCAGCTTGCTTTGTGTTCGTTCCGGTCCAATGGCAACACCCATACACTGTGCCCTGCCAGGAGGCTGGTTTCGCTGTTGGGATCCGGCTTCTTGGCGTGTGGCAAACTGAAGAACTCGTTGAAGACTCGAGGGAACTGAGCTGCTTTCACCATGACCTCGGCAACGAAAAGCTGTCACGCGACCCGAAGCTGTCACGTGACTCGCTCGGTGCGCTGAGCGCGGTCCGAGACACGAAGGGCCCCACGGTGTTGGGAAACTCCAAATTCAGCAGCTCCGCGTCAAAGCCGGCTGTGCGAATCGGGTAGGCCACCTGAGAGGGAATGTGAAGTGGTAGACCTTGACCTCGTTCTGGATCGAGATGCAAAGTTATGACTTCTGAAAAGATACAGTGAGGGTGCCTACCCCTCCGAGAATGGTTTTCACAGGCTGAGCGGCTGACCCATGGTGGCTTTCCACATCAACTCACTTCGTCGACGGCCGACGGCTCCAGCACCCGCCCTGGCCTCCTGTAGCAAAGCCGTCCGCATCTCCCGGGCTTCTTCTTCAGGCAATTGCCTTGTTGGATTGCGCAAGGATGGAGCGAAGCGAGTAGGAGCAAGGACGCTACTGGGGGCTCCTGGCGGTGCTACTAGGAGCAATGAAGCTACTAGGGGCTCCTGGCATCGCTACTAGGAGCAAGGGCGCTACTAGGAGCTCGTTTTTTGCTTCTTTCCGGTCAGTTCTGCAGCATGCACGCAGAATGCGCCTTGTCACGTCCACGCCGCTGGCAAGGCCAAAACCAGACGATTTCTGCGGAACACCTCAGGGAGATCTGGAACCAGACTGCGTTCTTGTTGGCTGGAACGAGGCAGTCTGGACTTGTTTAAAGTACTTTCGTCAAAACATTGTGGAGGCTCTAGATGTGCTTTCTTCTTCACAATGTTCTCTTATACGGTGCTAGGCCTGAATGTCCAACTCTTTTTGCCATGCTTTTGTTGGACTTGGCCCTTTTGCTCGGAACAAGAACGAGACGGGAAGAAGGCGTTTGAAACTCCGGGTGCGGAGTAACCTAGAGCCATTTTTTGGATCAGGCAATGAAGAGGACTGAAGCGCAAACTTACCAACTCAAATCAACTTGAAGTCAAGTTGCGAATGTGAAGAGTCCAGCAGAAGCTTCGCTCAACTTCTTCCCGCTCCTGCCGGCTGGATAGTGGGCCAAGGGCCATCGTACCACCGAACCACTGCGTCCATTCCTTGAAGCCCAACATCTGTCGTTAGCACCACCCAACAACTTCAGCTGTGAGGTCCAAACCTCACCAGTAACAAGGGCATCGCTACTAGTAACAAGGGCATTACTACTAGTAGCAAGAAGCTACTAGTCTTGCGGTCGCTTTTTTTGCCTTTTCCACCGATCGAATGGACCGTCCATTGGTCGCTGTCGCGTCCTCGTCGTCGGGGAAGGCGTGAGCAGTTGGGGCGCTCTCCCAAAACAAGTTGTAGGATGGATCGTCCTGGCGCCGAGGTCACGGACAGCTTTTCCTCTTTCGGTTCGCAACCAGAGTAGTTTCTAGCCTAGTTCTTTGCGGCTAGGCTTGTGCGTAGTTGACCAATGTCATAAAACCATCCAGAAAGAATGCACATCAAAAACCCTTGGCCTTTAGTCACCGGTGTGGAGAAGAACCCATGGATTTTCTGTGAGATGTCACCAGCGATCTTAACCTGCCATAGGTTTGGGGGGTCCCGGTTCTAATCCACAGTGAGGGATTCGCAACCAAAAGGACATTGGATGCCATGAATGAATCCGTCGGGGCTCGTGTCCAAACCTCCATTTCGTGAATATTCATCACTATCCACTATCCTCATGTGCGTCACGAAAGTCCACCACAGACGTCTACCAAACCCAAATGAACAGAAAAAACACTCGTTCACCACCATCCCTCCATGAACCAGCATGTACCTGCCTTTCCGATGCTATGCGGGAGCTATCCTGCGTCCCTGTGTAGAAGCTTACTTGAGCTACTAGCTACCTTACTAGCTACCTAGCTACCTCTTCCTCTATCCGCGGCCTTGGAGGCCCGGGCCGCGTCCTTGAACCGATAGAGCGACGCCAAGAGCAGACGCAAGAGCCGTCCCAAGTCTTTCAGCTCTTCCTCCGTGGAATCCTCGAAGCGACTGCAATGCCGCTTCGGCGCCACGATGATGCGCCTGGGCGACGTTCGACGCGACGATCGCGTGGGACCGGACGAAGCATCCTGTCCTACCCACCAGTGGACTAGTAGCTGCTTCCTGTCCTGCCCAACATGGTGTATGTAGATTCCTGCAAGTCTGCCGTATCCGGATTCCACAGCCATCGCTCTGCGTTCCAAGAGACCCTCTGGGCACTTGTGCGAAGGGCACCGACGCCACGAAGTGCTCCGTTTGGTGCACCAGTCGAGACACGCTCATCGCATTGCCCCCAGTGACATCTTCCACATAGATCCTCGCAAGGCATCTAAAATACCATGGAAGATGGAAAAACAACACCAGGTCCAGTTTGCACTTGCCTAGGTCCTTAAGACTCAAAAAGACCATGTTGAACATCACCCAATGCCCGGCCCCTTTTTTGTTTTCCCGCACTGAAGTGTCCCATGAGCGGACCCTATTCGTGGCTACGTTGTGAAAGGATGCTTGCAATTTAACCAGGCGTTTTTTTTCTTTTTTTTTCGTTTGTTTTGTGGATGGAGGTCTCAATGCGTTACCAACTTCACCCAAGTGGACATCTGGTCGATCGCTTTTCGCCCAGGAACTTGTGAACTCCAGAGCAGCCGTGAAGATCGAAGAAGTCCTTGTGGTCCTGGCGATGCGGCGCGACGCGGCGCGATGCGTGTGGTGACACCGGTGTCGCCACCAAGGGCGGTCTCTGTGCTCCTGCAGTCGCCGCTCCAAGCTGCGGCTGACAATCGGCAAAGAGCAAATCCTGACTTTCTCTTCAAATCTGCTACCTTGTCTAGGATTTATCATGTCTTAGCATCGCTCTTGTTGAACTTGCAAGGTATCAAATATTCTGAACCAATGATCCTGTAGTACTAGCAGCTAGCAACAATGGCCATCACTGGCTCAGGAAGCGGTCAAGAATAGTTACGAACCTTCAAAAACACAGTGTGACTCCCCAGACCTTGACTCGCAGTGAGTACGAAACAACGCCAAGCTTGTGAAGCATTTCTGCCTACGACGGGGGATCAGTGACTGCATCGAAGTGGCTGCATGTGTGGGTGAATCAGAGAGCCGCTGGCTTCGGCGCCATACTGCTTAAAATACCTCATCCAAGTAGCACATGCAAAGTCGCCTTTCTTTGAGATCTAGTCACTCGTCTGTTTGCAATGATTCTGTTGGAATAAATCGCAATGGTGTGCACCTCTGTTTTCTTCACAAGAAAGCACGATGCCATGGGCAAAGCTTCCCTTGGTTCGGTACATGAGCTGCAAGACTCGCTGGCACTTTCGCAGTGAACGCCCTGCGTTCGAAGTCGGCGGTCGTTAAGCACCCAAAGCACGGGGGAGCAGCGAAAGGACGGGTTGTCGGTGAAACGAATGGTCTGAAGACCTTGATGTTTAGAGAGAAGAGCTTGGTGTTCTTTAGCTTGTTTGGAATGAAAAGCTGAGTTCTGTCCAAGCAAATCGGCATGTGTGAGGGAAGGAAGGACTGCTAGGTTCCCTGATGGGTCTGCTTCTTGCTTTGCCTCATCATTTGTTACTCAGAAGGCTAGTGAATGCTGTTTCCTTCCAAGGAATGCTTCAACATCTCACGCCTGGATTCTCTCACCGCTTGCTGAATAAGCTTTCTTCTAGCACGAAAGCAAACATCCATCTATATCCAAAGTGGAGATGAGATTGCTTTGCTTTTGATGTCTCCGTGCGTTTCCTATCCTCTATACTCCCCACGAAACGGATAAAACATCTGATGTGCAAGGATCTCGTCCTGCCTCGAGCAGCCATGGCGCGGAGTGAATTGACCACCTACCAAGCGCCCCAGAGTAGCCCCAAAGTTTTAGAGGACGTTTCGGTTCAACTAGGAGCAAAGGAAGCTACTACGGGCTCCTCATCGCTACTAGAAGCAAATAGCTACGTAACAAAGGGCATCGCTACTAGGAGCAAGGACGCTACTAGGGGCTCCTGGCCTTACTACTAGGAGCATTCTTGCTACTAGGAACAAGATCTTGCAAAAAAATGGCAGTTGATGTCAACATCTCCGAGAAGGTGGTCACCGCCATTTGAGGCGCATGAGTGCATGGAACTAAGAACATCTACCAAGAATCGAAGCACTCTCCAGCCACATTTCCACTGCCAACTGTGAAACTAGGGAAAGCTGCACCACGGGGGTGCTGTTTGCTTCGTTGGCACCTCTTTTCGGATCTCCAGGGCACGCTGAGTGTGGAGTACGGCCAGGAGCACCTAGTAGCGTCCTTGTTCCTAGTAGTACTGCCAGGAGCCTCGAGCAGCCTCAGTGTTCCGTTCGTAGCGATCTTGGAAAAGGGACCCTTTCACGACCGCCGCCGCCCGCCTGGGCGTCGTCGGCGATGCCAATGAGTGCATTGTGCGTCGGCGATTCCACCACCACCTCGCTGGCACCAAAGCCATCCACCATCCTTCGAGCAAACAAATCGGATTCGAGCCCCTTTTTTGGGCCACAAGGAGCTCCGTTCGCGATGCCAACCCGACCAAAGGGGATGAAAAGGGCGCCTTTCTGCCGACCCGCGAAAACTGGCTTCGAACCAACGACGGCTGTTTGGACCTCCTTGGATCTTCATCCGTTTTCTTATTCCGAAAAGGCGATTTCATAGAAACCCTGCGAGGGCTTCAGCTGGCAGAATTATGGTGAGGCCCTTTTCCCACCCCAACAGGATTCACTATGGCTTCCAATTTCCTCGCGAGCTCAGAGCGTTTGTGTTCCAGTTCTCTCCTGTACAAGGGATGATCCGCGTCCGGATTGGCCGCATGGTTGTCATGGTCCCCGAAGCAGGCCGCGTGCTTTGTGCGGTCGAAGGGGAAGGGCTTTTCATAAAGCTCCTGGGATTGGAGCGAACGGATCGAACAGCTCGGGGTTGCCAATTCCCTATGCATCTGCCAGCCGCGCACCACTTTCAGCCTTACACACGGTAGGTTTTGCAGGGATATCATACGAAGAGTTTCCTCAATCTTTCATTGTCTCACACAACTGTTTTTGCAAATACCATACTGTAAACATCTGTAAACACATGCGTGGCAGCACTCTTCACTGATGTAGCTTTGGTGAGCCATAGCTTCACGGAAGAAGAGCTCGAACAATGTACGGAGTGGCCAATTTCCCATTGCTCTCCTGTGGAGTAAGTAGATATGGAAAAGGATTGCGAAGAACTCGGACCAGCCACTTTGTCTTGTCCTCCTGGCGAGGTCTCCCAAAAAGGCTCTGGTCTCCAAGCTGCTTCTGTTGTAATCCCACCATTTGCGACAGTTTCTACATGTTTCTACATACCAATTCAACTGATGACATTGAATCGATAGGCATGGAAAACAAACCACTTGAGGAGGCCAGGCGCATGTAGTTCGACGCCACGGGCACCGAAGAACCCTGCCACGTCGCCTCGTTCTCGGGTAAGCCTTCGCGTTCTTCCAGGCGTCCGTCGGGCCAAACTCGAAGCACCTGCACCGGGCCACGCCGAACCGGGCGAATCCCATGAGTCCAGGATGTTGGATATCCATGTTCGTGATCCAGCGAATAAGAACCGGCTAGCGATGACCTCCAACCTACGGTGCGTCCTTGTTACTGGCATCCTTCCTTGCTCCTAGTAGTGATGGCCAGGAGCCTCTATAGTAGCTTCTTGCTCCGTTCGTAGCGATGGCCCTTTGCTCCTCGAACGACCAGAAACACGTGAACTTCCACACTTCGCGCCCGCCTCAGTGGGTTCTTCTCGTCCCTTACACAAAGGGCACTTGGCCTGGGCGGCACCCGCTGGGGGGAGGAGACTCGAAGTAAAGGTGAATCGCCCAACGTGCGAAATCAGCCTCAGCCTCTTCAGTCTACTCCAGCCCTCCCTTCAACCCCGTCGCATGCGGAGCTCCGCTCCGTTTTTGACGAGCCGAGCTCCGCACGTCGTGGGTGGGTTGCTCGTGTGCTCGTAGCTCGCTGCGCTCCTTGCTGCGGTACTGCCGCACCTTCGAAGGCCCGGCCTTGACGTCCACGAAGAAGCAACACCAATGCCTTTCAGCGAGGAATGCTGGAGGACTCCATCCAGAGGGCTCGAAAGGGCAGATTTCCAGTGTAATGCCTATGTGCAATGTACATATATATATATATACACATACCCAAGGTCTCTTCTCAATTGATGACCTGTTGGAGGGTGCTGCTCTATATTCAATGTATGCATGATACTAGTATACATATATCTATATATGTGGAAGTGGACGGTGGGCCCCAACCAGTTCAGTGAAATTCTCCTGCAAGAGTTGTTTCGTCGACTTTTCTTGGCGGCAAAAACCTGCACACCCAGCCATGTGGCCTAGTCAATGCATCTTGCCGCAAGAGCCGCAAGCGTGAACCACTTTCGTACTCGCCTTGCCTGAGAAAAGTTCGCAAGGAGAGGGAGGAGCTTGGCTCTGGACCAAATTTTTGGAAGCTAGGAAGAAAACACATGGCCACTCTCTAGAGTCTATAGAGAAATTCACAACTTCAACTAACGAGCAATCATTAATAAGAAGTCACCAGCAAATGGACACATGTCTTGGAAATTTGTGTCACTCTGGTTTCATTCTTAACTTCAGGACTTAAACAACTCTAGGATTCATGAGCATCCTTCAAGAATGCCACACGAACATCCAAACGCCGGACGAAGACGAGCCACCCACCCAGGCGTCGCCAAAAGCGGTTCTCGCCCTCATAGGAGAGGCGCCTCTCCTGATTTCAGGGAGAGACGACGAAGGAAAGCCGAGAGAAAGCTCATGTGGGTTTTGGTTTCCGCTCCGGGCCAAAGCAACCTTTCAAAGGCCTAAAGCTAAGTCGGTTTTAGAACCTTTTCGTTGGAAACATGGTGTTCGGCATCTAACTTCGGCATCTGTTCTTACATCGTTTTCGCTTGTCTCACCAAAGCCTTCTCCGTTTTCGCTCAACGAAGGGCGCATCGCCTCCTGAGTCTTGGGACTCGTCTGTGTCTCACCGGAGATCTGTCGCGCCAGCTGACAGCGGTCGGGCGTCAGCAGCCGCTGCAGGGAGCTTCCTGCAGTGGGCCACGTGGCCACGTGCTTTTGCGAAGCCAAAAATGCGGTCGTGGCAAGTGGCGTGCATCACTGAACTGGCGTGCATGGCCGCGTCCAACTGACGTGGAGAACATGAACTAGGCCAACTAGGCGATAGAGAACGCGTGAAGCAGTGGTCGAAACGTCGTGCTCCTGAGCCACTGTGTGGCAGCTTGAGTAAATAGCTATCCAAGGCTGTTCGCAGCACAGGCCCCAGCTTGGAGGCCTCACATGGCACCAAATACAAAACAACAAGTGCTCCCCTTGGTACTTCTGGAGCCAGAAAGATTGAAGCCCGGAACTTGGATCGAAAGGACGCCAGTGCTCACGCTAGTGCTCCTGTCTTTCGAAGCAGTGATCAAGCATTCCACACCGAAACGATCTAAGCGGCAACATGTCCCTTCGTGGGGAGGGCGTCCAGCCTGACCCCACTGTCCGTGACGACCCTGTGGCCTCTGGGCGATGCTTCAAGATGGAGCCACAAAGCGCATTGAGAAGATCCAAGATGCTGAGCTGCTGAAGAAGCAACTGATCCTCCTAGGAGCGAGCAAGGACGCTACGAACGGGGCTCCTGACAACCCGATCAGAACACAAAGCTGGCACGATGTTTCCGACGGAGTGCACATGTCGTGGCACAGTGTTTGCAATTAGAATTAAAGTAAAACTAAATTAAAGTAAGTAATAGCTTAATTGTTACTACTAGCGTGGCACTTGTTCCTAGTAGCGTGGCACTTGTTACTACTAGCGAGAGGAATCACTTGGTGGGGAGCCAAGGGTTTTATCAAACATCGTCTCACCAGCGGAAGGGTCTCACCAGCGAGCTGGGTCAATTCGAAGCAACACCAGTCTTTTAGATAGAACTTTCCCATTCAACATGAAGACTCATGACAACCGAAGAGAACTAGACAACCGTGGAGCGTCTGGTCTTTGTTTGAGTTTGAGCATTCCATCTCCCGGATCTATTGACCCCCAGCTTGAGCACACCAAAAAGGAACACGTCACGAGTCACTACCAAAATGGTGGGAGGATTTCGAGGAGAGATTTACTTCGTACTCTTTTCAAGAGGCGATTCAAAGATGTGTCTGCATTGAATACAAGTCATACAAGTGATAAGACCTGATAAGACCATTTGCCTTTACTTTCAAACCAGTGCTGTTTGTCTTGATCGTGCCTGCGACAGCGGCAAGAGCTGGAGGTAACTCATGGCCAAACAGTACTGGGTGATGTCGATGTGAGGTCTTAGCTTCTTGCCACGAGTAATAATGCCCTTGCTACAAGTAGCGACTGTCATGGCTCCCTGCTGCTCAAGGATCAGCGCATGTTTATGAATGTCTCAGGAGCTCAAAGAGTTGCGCAGCATGAACCGCTGGTTCTCGAGCAAGATTTTTGTTTTGCTTGCCTTTTTTGACTCTCGTTCCAAGATGTTCCAAGAACACCATGGTGCCACATGACACTTTCTATGGTCACTGAGCCACAACGAGCCACGTCAGCACTTGGCCATAACTTCTGAACCAACCAGCTGAGCCAGCTGTCTCCGGACCTCTTTTTGAAGCGGTCCGTCCACACCGAGTCGGTCGGTCACCTTTGTGAAGCGGAGCACGGGGAGGTTCTCCGCGCGCATGGGACCGAGGTCTTCGGTTTTTCGTTTTCACTGGTCTTTCTTCCTGAGCAAGGCACAACACCGCACAACACCTCCAGTTCTTACAGAGCTTTTGGCACGTTAAACAAGGAGAGCAGCAAAAAGGAGAAGTCAGGCACACGGAAAGAAGAAACAAACCATCTAGACTACTGAAGGTGAGCACCCAACAGTTGTGCTTTGATGATACTGAATAAATGATATGATTCTTACACATTCTTGCTGTATAGTACTACTGAGGTCCTGGATTTCGTACGTAGATCAAACGCGCATCGCAAGTTTCTGTCCGCCTCTTCCTCTTCTTTGCTTCGCCTGCCTTTTCCATTTTGTCGTTTTGTTCCTTTCCTGCATCCTGCGCGACTGTGCTGATGTCATTAGCATGCTGATGTCTCAATATCAGGAAAACAAATCCATCTGGAAAACACCTCCATGACATAACCGTTGCAAGACTCGCAAGAACTCCAACCAAAAGTGTGCTTCTTACAACACAAACTACACAGCTAAGTCTGGAACAAGAACGCTTTCACACACAAGATGGGCCTGCAGAACCCCAATTGCGAGGGTCTTTGCAAATCCCCCAGGGTCGACCAGACCATACAGCCCCCTGTGGCCTGTGCCAGCTGGGCCAGAATCTCCGGCCTTGTCGTCGGGTGACACGTCAAATTCAAACGACTTGTATGGGACATCTGGCCGGACCCCATTTGAGGCGACCGCGGTACATAGTCCCCTCTTCTGTGTCACTTGTGTCCCTTCTTCTGTGTCATCGACCGGGATTGAATCCATCTTCTGTGATGTCCAAGGTCACACGTCTCTGGTTGAAGATGACCCCGTTGCTACGAACGGAGCCAAATACATCGCTACGAACGGAGCAAGAGGACGCTACTAGTAACAAGGGCATCGCCCTCAGGCTCTAAGGTCTTGGCTGGAGGAAGGGCTCATCGGAACGCCGCTGATCTGAAGGGCAGGACCGTTTTGGACCACAAACCCGTTGACCACACGTAGAACACCTGCATGGTGCCTTAAATGGCTTCAAATTGACCTCTGTGTTAGACACATGTCCAAGATCCTCGCAAAAGAATCTCATTCCCAAAACAGCTTCAGCTTCTCCAGCTCCAGCTGGCGCCCAGCGGTGCCTATCGGTGACCACAGTTCCGGCGGCCGCACTTCGTAGAGAACGACCTTCATCGCCGTCATCGCGTCCACTGAAAACAACACCCCCCGCTTCGAAAGAGTCTCAAACACTTCTCGCACTTGGTTTCATGGGAACTCGTCTTTTCTCAGAACTTCTTGAACTCCTGGTGAATCAATGACGCTTGGAATGAGGGACCTTTTTCAGTCGTTCAATCCACGTCCGTCTATGACAAATGCTGCAGATATTGCTGTAAAACCAAATGTCTGCTTTGCTGAGGCACACTTCCATCTGCGTCCAGCAAAGCGTAGAAGATGCCCTGCATTGCAAATCGAGTGGCCCAAACATGGCCCAAACAAAGTGGCCCAAACATGGCCCAAACAAGCAGAACACATGACGAAACTTCACAAAAAAACAAGAAACAAGTATGATGTATCTTCAACGAGTCTCGCTGAAAATCCCGTGATTTCTGATTGGCTGTTTCTTAGTTTCACCATGTTTCACCTTAACCGACAACTTTTGCTTGTGCACCCAGGAGAACAAGGATTCAATCACCTCCGGCTTGATCACAGATTGAACAGCCGGATCCCACTCGTTCGCTCAATGATTCGCAGCTTTGGACACTGAAGGCCTCCTATCTACTAGCGCTGGCCTCCAACAAAATAGCAAACTCTATAAGACTCTTCTTCCTTTTCTTCTTTCTTTATTTCTAATAGCAATGGCCTCCAACCTACTAGCGATGGGCTCCAAAGCTCAGACTTGGACTCCCCATTTTCGCCTGAAGACCCAGCTCTTGGCATCGCTCCTGTCGAATCGGGAATCGTGTGGAGACCTGGCGTGATCTCCTGAACAACATGCTATCATATGCTATCCTATTTCATTCGTCTGGCTCCTGAACAACGCCCTTCGCCCTGAGTCTTCTTTTTTTTTTTACGTCGGCGCCTCGTGAGTGCGAAGTGTGATGGTCTCGTGCGAGAGCAAAGGGATCACCATCTGAGTGGAGCCACCACAGAGACGACAAACGATCGTTGGCCGACAGAAAACCCGCTGAAGTTTCCTGGGCAAGCTTGCATGAGTTTGATTCGTGGCACACATGAGTTCGATTCGTTTTATAAAGGCTTTCACTTTCACCCCCCTGTCTACTTAGTTGCTGAAGACTTTTTGACCTTCTTTGTGAGGAAACGCCGGTGATTGCGTGATGTACAAAAGTGGCGTAGTCTGCATGGCGTAGTTGTCAACTTGACTGAGGGACGGGGAAGAAATGGGTTCACACGGCGGATGTGGAGTAGTTGCACATTTGGGGACTGAACTCTTGTGCTCCCCAAACTTCTCTACCCTGGAAAATGGCATCAAGAAGCTTTCTAGTAACAAGAAGCTACTAGGTGGAGGCCGTAGGTTGGAGGCCATCGCTACGAGTAGCAAGAGGCTTCTTAGTAATGGCATATTCTCGTGGCCCTCCACGTTTCACCATGTTTCACCTATTAGTGACCTCCCACTGGCTGAATGAAGGGACCCTGGTGAACAGCTCCAACCGGGCTGGCTGGCTCTGGCGGGGGAAGCAAAGTGCGGAGCACCTCAAAGCGGAAGTCTTCGAAGTCCTCCGTGAAGTGCGCAGCGCGGATCCTCAAACGGACCCAGAGTGCACAGATCCAATCGTGGATGGTTCCAGATTCCGGACGATGGCCTGGAGCACGATGCTCACTACACTGGGCTTCTGGCACACATCTTTTTTATCTAACAAAAAGATGTCAAACTCTGGAGCACGATGTGCTCGTTCCAATGTGGCAGATTTCAAGTTGGTTTTTGTTGACAAGGGTTGCTTTCTACAAGGACATGTTGTACACGAGTTTGCATACAACTTGTGCACACTCGAAGCTGTTTTCTTCCCAACCTCCCGCTCCCTTTATTTAAACGACGTTTTCTTGCGAAGAAAACCATGTCGAGTTCATTTTGACTTCCCACACGTGACGGCTGCTAGGTGTGAGACGCCCAGCCACCACTGGTTTGCACCACCGAGAGGTTCTCCCATCGCTCCTGATGGAACCGGCGAGTTTGGATGTTTCAAAGGCTGGCTGGTCCTTGAGATCGATCACACATTTGGGGCAGAACAATCCCAGACCGCATCGTCGAAGGCATTCTCTGCCAACGCATCGTCCAATTGGTAACAAGTCCCAGATTCAAATGATTTGAAGGAAGCTTTTTCTGGCCTTTCCAGGACGTCTCAAAGGCGGAGGTGCCCGGTTACTGCTAGGTTGGAGGCCATTGCTATTAGGTTGGAGGCCTCAAAGGCACAAAAACATGCCAGCTTGCTGCTGCTGCTTGCTGCTCCTCTTGAGACAACCGCCGTGCTGCGAAGTAGAGCTTCAAGGCCTTCACGTGGCGCGTGCCAATCAGAGGAATCGGGGTTGGATCATCCGATGTGGTTGGGCGGCTGAGGGCCCCCCTTCGTAGCTTCTTGTTACTAGTAGTAAGGCCAGGAGCTACTGGTAGCGTCGGATCGCTCCGTTCGTAGCGATGCCCTTTCTTCTCAAAAAGCGAAGATTCCAGCGTCCACAGGATTCGGCATTCTGCTCCAATTACACATCATCACCTGCACAAAAGAGCCTTCGTTTTTCTGGACGTGTCGGCCATGAACAAGCCTCCTCCTCCCCCTCAGAAAAGATCCGGCCCCCCGCGCCGGCGGTGTGCTGCGCTCCTCCTCCGGTGACGGAAGCACTTCACCCAGCTCAGCCACCTGAATCGTGACGCTACTAGTAGCAAATAGCCTAATTACTAGTAACAAAGGGCATCGCTACTAGTAACAAGAAAACAACAAGGTCTGACCTGCAAAGGGTCTTTGTCATAGTTTCGGCCTGGCGCAACGAGTCCAATGCGCCTCGGAGCGGCGTTCTCCGCGTTCTCTCACGGCGCCGTTGCGAGATCCGCGGACGAAAACAGGTGTCGAAATGGACGAAAACGGGTGTCTTTGAGCACCGGCAGATCGAAAGATCGGCAGAATCATTTCCTGCAGCTTAACTCTAGCCATAGGGGCAGCTCGATGAAAGGGGCAGCTTTTTCAATCATTTCTTAGTCTTTCAATGGCTGCAGCTTTTTCATGTCCTTCTCTGCTCAGGACAATCAAAACATATCAAAACATATCAATCAGGTCGGCACCCCCAGCGTCCGCTGCTGACATGACATGGCGACGGCGACGTGTTTCTTGAATCTTTTCCACGGATCAAGATGCAATTCCAAGGAAGACAGATCTATACATCTATCCAAAAGTAGATCTTTCTTCTGCCAATGATAGTTCAATTCAAGGAGGCCAGTCTCTCTCTCTCTCTCTCTGTTTCGCGAAATGCTTTCGCATCACCTCACAACATGCTTTTCCCCATGTGTCGTTGTCGTCGTGCGCTGAGACGTGGCACTTGAGCCAGTCCGACGTGGGTGTCCCCAGCGACGGTCCACTCCGTCCGAGCAGGTCCGAAGATTCTGCGGACCGGGTTGGCGATCCAAAAAGGAAGACGCAGCAAACATGGCTGGCAGGTGGAGGTTTTGCTCTGGATTTGTAGATCAATTTTCGTTGAAACAGGGGCCACATTGATCCGCTTCCATGTGACAAGTGAGTCGAAGTGTAAAAGATGCTAAGGAGTGAACTGCTCGTTGCCTGCAGTCGAAGCGCGTCGGAGACTTGGGTTCTTTGGTTGGAAGAAATCTGGACATCTTGGGAACTGGTGGAACTTTCCGTTTTGACCAAGGACTTAAGGTGGGCCACACAACCTTGGTGCAACGACGTATGAAAAAAGAGGCAGCTCATGTATTGCAACGACCAACCTTCAGGGCAGAAGATTGGCGCTTGAACAAGTTGGACCACGACTCCAGAGTTGGACAAAAAAGCCAATATCAATCTCTCCAAAAAGGACCGTCAGTCAGAAATGGCTTACCTTGGAGGCCATCGCCATTAGGTCGGAGGCCATCGCTATTAGATTGGAGGTCATCGCCATTAGGTCGGAGGCCATCGCTATTAGGTTCCTTTCGCTATTAGGTTTGAGGCCGGAACTTTCTTGCCATTAGGTTTCTTTTGCATCATGGCCTATGGTCTTTGCCATGAAACTGACGTTCTCCACAGATCTCCGTGGCCTGTTGTACAACAGGTGCGGTTGGACGAGGAGCGAGGCCTAAGTTTCGCAGGTCAAACGATGCCGGTACAGCTTTCCGGGAAAAGGAAGGATGATGTTCGTGAGTGCAAATTGTTCATGAACAAACCCAGCGGTCCTGCCTCGGCTTTGAGAAGGATACCCAGCTGCTTCATCCTGGAGACTGCGGCATCGTGACCCAAAGTTGCAAAAGAAACCTAATAGTGATGGGCTCCAACCTAATAGCGATGGCATCCCTAGTTCTGATTGTCTCCATCGTTTCCCCCACATCTGAACCCAAAAAATCTGACATGTTTTCAACATGCTCAGCACTGCTGAGAGGCACTGCTGAGACCTCATTGGGACGAGGCAGCAAGTGGGCCATCAGCGATCACATGCGATCAGTGTCTTCGAACTACTCACGGGCATGTGATCGGTTAAGTGGTCTTTTGTGGTTTCTAAACCCAAAACCGGGCCGCCCAAACATCACAACTTCTGTCTTGGACTCTGCGTGCCAGAACGAACCCACGTCACTGAGTCGTTTCGTGCCTGCCTTTTCTCAGCTCTACCTGTTTCTCGAGAAACATGGCTAGTGGGCATTGACGGGTGCCTGGGAGCCTCTCACTGCACATGAAGGGAGCAACACAGGTTCCATCGACATCCTTCCTGAATTTTGCGCAAGGCTCCATCACTGATTTTCGTTCTTCACAGAGGTTCAACGCATTTTGTCGTTCACGATGGATATTCACTTTGGCGACTCTGACGCACGAGAAGAGTTTTGGAGTGAAACGCAGCTGCCTGCATACCCAAACAGGATATGCTCCTAACTTTCATCAACCTTGTCACAAATCCGTTCAGAAACAAGACGACGAAAAGGCAATCATTATCTGGAGGACATCTGATCGAAACTAGGGCTTGCTGCCGGGTGAGAAGGTGCGCATGGGATCTGCAAGCAGACTCATGGCAAGGAAGGTGCCCTTGGCAAGTCAGAACTGCCAGAAGTTCCTCTCCGAGTCGGTAAGTGTCAATGATTAAGATGGAAGTGGATGGCACCACCTGTTGGTAAAGAAGAATGATTTTCCAGAGGCCTATGCCATCCACTTCCATGACTTCATGTCCAGTGTACTCCCTTGAATTCCTCCAAGTCACCGGATGAGCGTCTCTCGTGGTCCACCTGCGTCGCCAGACGCGGCCGCGGCCGCCTCCCCCGTCCGTTGGTCGTGCGAAGGACCAAGGTGCAGACTGAAGGCCAAGCGACGGACCATGCGATTATCTGAGAAGTGAGAATACCTCGCACAGGCCGCTTCTGGTGCGGTAAAGGGGACAGGAGGATCATGTCTTGAATTCTTGCTTGCTGGATTACACTGATTTACTTTTTCTTTTGCTGGTCAGTGTGAATGAAAAAACCAACAAAACAGTCAAACTGCTGAATGAACAACATTCTGCAGAAGCTGCACAAGCCCCCCAAAAGGGACCACCGCAACTGTCTGTGATGTGGCAACTGTTTGCCAGATGAGTTCTGCTGAGTTTGACACACATCGACAGGTGCTTCTGGCAATCGCACGGCAGGATCCACATCCATCTTGGTTTAGCAACTTGTCTTCAAACGGCGATCGCTACCAGTTGCAAGAAGCTAAGAGTATCTAGAAGCTATTAGGTGGAGGCCATCGCTAGTAGGTTGGTGGCCACCGCTAGTAGGTTGCCTTTTTTACATGTAAAAGTCTCTCCAAACGGCGATCCGTCAATGATTCAAAGTGAGCTTTCTTTTGCGTCGGAAAAAAACACCAAATTCCAAGGACAAACCCACGTCATTTGGCGTTCTCGAAATAACAAGAAGTCCCAGCGTTCTTGGAGGGAAACTCACACAGCTTAAATTAGGGGAGCAAAAAGAGGAGGTTGAAATCTGCCTTTCTTCGTTTCTTAGAAGTTGCTGTTTCGTGCCTCGAACTTCTTTTCTACTTTTCCATGCTTACAAAAAACGACGCTACGTTCGTAGCGATGCCAGTTGCTCCGAAGGTAGCGTCCTTGTATCCATAAGCTAAGCTAGTTGGCCATTTCTTCATGATCTGGCAGGAAGCCCAGTTGAGCGCACCATGGGTTGGTCGCTTACTTTCCTCATGCGGGTGAGTACCCCCCCATCCAGAAAACACTTCAAAGTTGGAATCCTCAAATCCCTTATCATTCTTCTTTTCCTCTTCTTTTTTCTTTTGACCTTTCTTCCTTTTCTTCTTTTTCCTACATCATTATTGCTTAGTGGGTCACAGTACTGAAAGACTGTGACCGGGGCATCCTTAATCCAACGATCCCGATCAGCTTTGCGCTTCCCAGAGAGATCCGCCTGATGCCGCCATCGTTCAATGACTGCTTTGGGCGGCCTTAGCACCAAACGCACCGTGTTCTTGGGATCTCTGCAAACGCCTCCAGAACTCTGCAAAACGAAGCAAGTACAAGTCCAACCAACGCATGTACATGCGTTCTGTTTCTTAAATCTAAGAACCCAATGATTCGTCCCGTGTCCTACCTGCCAAAGACCCAAAGACGGAAGCGAAACCTTTGCGCATCTCGGCAGCCGACATGGGTCGGACATTTCTCATCGTCGACAGCGTTTGCAACTTCTTTTCGGAAGAGATCCTGTGCTTTTCGAAAGGATGCCGAGCGACCCAATTCTGAGGACCTTTCGGATCGATCAGATCCGACTCCGAAATCAGCCCACGTCTTCGCTTCCATCAACGATCCACGCCTGCAGGGCGCCAACGTCTTGCGCAGCTCCTGGCGAAATCGACGGATCTTCGGCAGATCGTCTTCCTTCGCATTCGCCGAACGGTGCGCCGAACCTCTCCACCCGTGTTGCTTCGGCCAAAAAGCCTCAGCCACAGGCAGCAGGCAACACTAAACAGTCGTCAGATGCAGGAAAACCTCAAATCTGTCTGATCAAAAGAACAGGCATCAAAATGCATATCCATGGTAACTTTATGAGACTTGGGTTGCAGCAACTCTACCGAAAATAGGCTTAAAGCATGTTTTAACACCCCAGATCCACGACTTTTCTACAATCAACACTTTTGTTCTTCTTGAAGTAAATCAAGCAAACTTCATCCATCTGGCTGTGGGAAGCGGCTGTGCAGGCGGCGTCCAACGTCCGTTCTTGAAGCGCGCGTCACCAAGGATGTACCTTCATTACCGTGATCTTGGGGCTGACGCGAACTTTTTGATTTCTCAGAGTTGCGTCTTTCGTGAACACCATGAGGAAACTTTGAAGTCTAGGCTAGCAGGAGTTTAGGCATGCTGATCTAACCCCGAGGTCAACAGGTCAAGCAGCTGCACAAACACGTTTCCGCGTCGCACCAATCACGTCCAGTCCCATCTGAGAGATGCATGGACGGGCGTCCCCAACCTCAATTCCAAGCAGGGGTGAAGCAATACATGCAGGCTTTCACGCATATGATAGCTTGACTGATAGCTTGTAGAAACATCTCTTAGCCAGTGTGGGTCGTATCTGACGATCTTTCGTGATCCGTGGTATGCTTGGTGGGTTCCACATGTGGTGCGAGAGCACGGATCGGGTGAGCGCACAGCATCGGGCCCTGCAACTCATGTGACTCTTTGTCTTCATGGTGTTTTCTGTGTGAAACCTGCGCAAGCTTCATGAACACCTCCACCTTCGGGTTCGCCCCTGGAAACTGAAAAGAAGGGACTTCAGCCGTCACACACACACGCATGGCTTGAGCAGGGCCCTAACGTCGAGCTCGGCGGATTTGTCCAATCTGCCCCCAATTCAGCTTTCCAAACTGCATTGCGTGATGAGGATAGAGCTGGGCAACCTAGCTTGGAGGCCATCGCTAGTAGGTTGGAGGCCATTCCCATTGGGTTGTATACAGCCCATCAGCCCGCCCATCACCCCACCTGAGAGTCCCTGCTGCATTGGGAGGTGGCTCGGACGGACATGGGCACCGGTTGGTCTACGGCGTCTACGGGATAGCTAGTCTTCCGTCTTCGGCTCGGGTCTGTTGGGGCTCTGTGTCTGGGCGTCTGGACGGTTCGAAGCTTCTGGACTGTTCGAGCCGAACAAGCCGCCACCAAGCGCCGCCACATGATTCTTTATTTTGGAAATCTCTGCTTTTGTGATTGTTCCTTCAACTCTCCATGGTTTCCACATTTCTTTCCAAGGTACTACCTGTAGGGTCTGATACAGTAGCAACAAACAAGAGCGTCAAGCAGCGAGAACCAGCTGTGCTTTGGTGGAATCACAGTCTTCCAACCAACCGGACGCCGCACAAAAAGGAAGAGCAACAAGTAACGAAAAGCACGAAGGTCTTTCCGTGTACTCTACAAGAACCAAGTGACCAAACACACCCTCTGGGAGTCAAAGACTATAAAAAGAATGGTCTTTAGGGGACCGAAAAGGACACTTCCTTTGCTTCAGCCGGTCAAAATACAGTCTTTGGACTTCTAGGGCACCCAGATACATTCTAAACATTTCTATGCCAAGCACACGTCTGCCAGGCAGAATTTATGCACCAGATAAGTGCAACAAGAACTGCATTCGAGGAGCCTGCTTCTCCTTTTTGGACCAAGCGATGGTTGGTGACCCCGAACGCTACCATGTCCCGTAACGTGCAAATGAATTGTGAAGCCGATCTTGCCTTCTTTGGGCTTCTGCGATTTCGCATGCACATGGAAGTTTGAACACACCACATTCGAAGAGCATTGACCTTTAGATCTTTCAGCACATTGGCACAACCTGTGAACTTCATTTGGACGAAGAGAGCTGGATGCGCTAGTCGAGCGTCTTGACTCCCTTGCTTTGTGGGCCTGACATCCCGTCGTTGAAACCGACGAGATTGTCATGGACGGTACTTCTGAACAACTTTAGTTTAATTCTTGTTTCTAATAGCTTCTTGTTACTACTAGTAAGGCCCTTGCTCCTAGTAGCGATGCACTTGCTCCTAGTAGCGATGCCCTTGCTCCTAGTAGTGTCCTCGTTCCTACCCCCCCCCCCCTCGTTCCCCCCCCCCCCCCCCCCGGTACTTCTGAACATGTTGTCGGTTTCTTCTGAAAGATCTGTGCTGCGAAGCACGACGCGAGACTCATGGAGCCGAAGAGTGACTTGAGGAAGTGACGTCTTGAGTCGATCTCTCTGTTCAGAGAGACAGGAAGATGGAGAAACAACAGGTTTAGAGGTACAAACAAGAACTCAAATGGAAAGAAAAAAGGACACGAACTGAAGAAAGGCGGCCAGAAAAGAAGAAGGGCACGTACGAAAGCGAAAGAACAGGCCAGAAAGAGCACGTTTCACAACCCAACCAACCTGGGTGGAAACCCAGTCCGCAAGCAGAAAGACTTCTGGAACGAAACCCAGTGCCAGCCATGTCAAAGGATCTCCAGCGCGAAACGCGCCAGAACTTGGAACAAACGGTTTCTGGTTGGGACTGGCAAGAAGCTACTAGTAACAAGTGCATCGCTACTAGTAACAAGTGCGTTACTAGTAGTAACAAGTAGCTAGCATTTGATTCTGCAATTTTCAACTGAGGGTTCCAACAGACTGAATCTCTTTCATCACTGGGATCCCAAACGCGATGCTGAAGGAGCCCTACGTGACCTCAGCCACTGACCGGGCGGAGGACGGTCGAAGCCGATGGGGATGAACTCCCATGACCATTAATGGGGATTACACAATTATAATGTAGATATATAACCACGTAGAAATTCTTATACATATCTACATATTACATTGTTATATCTACATAATACAATGATATATATATATATATACACACAATTACACAGATTTGTGGGGCTTCAGCTGTGTATTTAGGCTTGTGTGCCTGGTACAAAACCGGAAACGCGTGGAGACTGGTTGGTGCTTGGCGATATATAAGTGATATGTTTTAGTAAAGAAACCAGTTCAATAGCACGATCTCCAAATCTTTCAGAGCACCAGCGCCAAAACCAGTAAGGTCACACGTCACACTGGTCGCACTTGGTCTTCAGCTGAAGCCATGCCCAGTCAGTCCTTTTCCGCCAAGCGACGCACCACGCGCCTTCGTCTCTTTGGGGCTCCCTCAGCGGTCGCGCTGAGTCAGTCTACAGGTGTACGAGCAGATCCTCGAATTGGGTCATTTTTCCATGTCCTGGAACGACTGGGCGGTTGGATCAGGGGTTTCTGAAAAGCACTTTTGGTCGGAAAACAAACACAGGTCGAAGCGCCCAGCTTTTCCTAGCCTTCGCTTTTGGCTTTCGCCTCTGGCGTCCTGTGTTTCAGCTCCGGTCGAAGGATTTCATTTTGCTTACGCTGGACTTGCAGAGAGTAAGTAGGGTTGTCCTGGCTATTGAGAGTGTGCTGAACGCACTAAACAATGTTGCGCAAGAATGGATCAGGGTTCGACCGCTCCGGATTGCAACCCCATGGGCTCAGTTAAAACAACGCTAGGCAGCATGGCTTCAATACCAATCACCCCTGCACGGCTTGAGATATATGTCCATGTGACATCTGCGCCGATTCCGATTCCAAGGGCACGTGGCTACGTTGGACTGGGTCCAGAATCCAGAATCGTATTGTGGCCAAAAACAAAGGCAAAACTCATGGGGGGTTTCCCACAAAAGCCACTTTCACACAACCATTGACCAGCTCTGGCGATGCTCCCTACCATTGACCCCCCGTTTCTTCCCACATCATGGGGGTCTGGCTTTCTCTCATGTTCTCTCGCTTCTCATCCACAGAATCGTCCGAAAACTCCTACTCCGAAAACCAAAGAAACCACCAGAAGGCCTTCTGCCCTTCCAAATCGCCTCATTCCTCCTCGAAGCCACTGGGCAGGCATTTGCTTTTGGGCCTAGACTCGTAGACCAAAACCCCGCTCTCGTTCCTGCGGATCGTGTCCGTTGTGGGGTCCTCTTTGGAGCTGGCTTTGCTTTGGGACTCTTAAGCTCCTGGACGCTTCGGACGCTTCGTGGAGCGCCCGAGACCGGTGGGTTTCGACGGAGGTGGTGCTTGGTGCTTGGTGCCTTTGGTGCCGTCGACCACACCGGACATCTATGTAGCCTAGTGATTGAGACATGTTGGGACTGAAGGACTGGAGCTTTGAAAACAAACCTCTCCTGAGACATCTGCGGTGCCTTTGCATTCCTGGCACGAACATTCGAGGATGAGAAGTCCCGTTACTGAGCGTTTCCACGAATGCTGAGTTCCTGGCGCAACAGGAACATCCGCCTTTTTGGGGCTCCGACCTTGTGGAAACAACAGGGTGGGAAGGATCTTCGATCATGGTTTTGCCAGTTGAACCATCCCCACAAAGAAATTTGTCCAAACAAAGCGCTTTGGAGAGCTGACCAGCTCTCCACACTCCTTGGACTCGCCAGGTTTTCAACGGTTTTCACTCTGACTGAGAGTGAATCTTCTCGCAGGCTCCTCCTTGACGTCCTGGTCGAAGGTCATGGTCAGTCAGAACTCTGTGACCAGTTGAAAACTCAGACTTCATCTCCAGCTGTTCCCAATCTCAAACTAAAAGATCGCTACTAGGTTGGAGGCCATCCCTACTAGGCTGGAGGCCATCCCTGCTAGGTTAGAGGCGATCGCTATCAGGTTGGAGGCCATTGCTCTTAGGTCTTTTTTCTTCTTCGCTCAATCGCTTGGGGTTCCAACTTGTTGCTTCCTGGATCTTCTCAGCAGCTCGTGCCTGCACCTGCTCAGCTCTTCTCCTGAAGAACAAGGTGACCCCAAATCCATTAATCTGTTGAAGGGAGACATCGCAACCACTTACAGAGTGGACTCACTCATAATATAGTTATACATAATTATGTTCATTTGTATTTGCTTCGTCTACCACGCCGGACCTCCCCAAAGCAAATCATTCCAACAATACATCTGTCCACATCCACATCGCTTTCGGTCCTTGGTTTGATCAGCTCTTGGTACTGCTCATTGATCTTCCGCAAGCCCTGCAAAGACCGACGCCGAAACTAACGGCGACTCCATCGGTCTGTCCAATTTGAGTCTGAGAAGAGGAACATTTTTGGGCATCATCCAGTCGTCATTTCGCAGATGCTTGGAGCTCCCAGCCTCCAAGCCTTTCATTGGAAGGCAAAGGTATCGCCTGATCCGCCGTTCCAACGGCTCGCCGCACGGATCCCCGCCCCTTCGCCCTCCGGCTCGGGCGCCCCGACGAGTACATGGCAGGTGGGTGGAGCCGATCGGGCAACGGGAAGTCCGGGTTGATCCGAGCAACTCGGTGCGGCGGGTTCGCGCGCGAAGTCGCGCGCTTCAGAAGGGGGAGAGCGGAATTGGATGGTATGAGCTGTGTCTTCTGGTGTCTGAAAAGGAAAGAGACCACTCAAAGGCTGAAATCATGAAGAGAAGGTATCAACAACACGCATGACCACTGAAGAACACGTTTTGACCCAAAAGAGTCTGACAAAGAAAGTATGCAAAAATGGCTGGAAGGTTTTGTGAAGGTGTGGTATTAAGTACCTGATTGTGCATCCATCATTCCATTCCATTAGGTTGGAGGCCATCGCTAGTAGGTTGGAGGCCATTGCTAGTAGGCTCGAGGTCATTTGGAGGCCATCGCCAGTAGGTTGGATGCCAATTGCTAGTAGGTTGGAGGTCATCGCTAGTAGGTTGGACATCATGTACTTAATCCTCAATTAGGGGGGTTATTATTTTTCACCATCGCACACGAATCGGATGTCGCGCGCAACCGCACCCTCTCTGGAGCGCGGCAAGTGTGAACCATAAATGGATGCACCGAATTATTGCACCGGAAGTAGGCCATCCCATGACGACAGAGCACGGCCAGCGCCTTCATCAAAGATGTGAATCAGCCGGAACCGTTCGTCGTCAGACATCAGAACATCAACGCCATGGAAAATTCCTTTAGGAAGCTCTCGCCCACAGCTCTTGTTCCTCTTAGCGTCGACGCCACAAGGGAAAGGCTGACACAAATCAGACGGCTGCAAATGCTTAAGCATCGCACGGAAGGTGGTGATCAAATGCATGTACAAACTGATCGACGCCTCAAGTTGGGAATGCTTGAAGCCCCTCCACCAAAAAATGCAAGCCAGCTCAACAACCGACACACTGAATTTGTCATCAATGCGCCAATGAAGTTGCATGAAAAACTCTCTAAAATATTTCCAATCTTCAAGCTCATGGGGCCACTTGTGCGGCACCGGCAAAAATTTGGGAATCTTGGGTTTCCATGCGTAGTTTTCCGCAACCGCATTCCATGGCCATAAGGGAAAGCGGTAAAGACAGCTGGCAGGATTGTCAACAACAGGTTGTGCAACTGCAGCAGGTTGTACCGGCTTGTGAACTTCAAGCATGTGACTGACAATGACTAGCCATTCTTGCCTGTGAAGGATCGCATTCTCAAGCATTCTCTGGTCTTGTGGATGAATGGCAGAACATTTCACCGCTTCATCTTTTGCACTACAATCTGCCCGCCTGTTGTTGACGACATCAAGATATGTTGACCCATGCTGCTGAGCCAAGCTCTCCGTCACAAGATGCACCGGCACATCTTCAAGAACATGGCTGGGAATCCATTCGACAATGACTGGATGCGAATGTTGACGGCGTCGAACTTGCACAATCTCAAGAATCTCATTCCACCACGGCCGGTGGGCCCAGTGGTTGGGCACTTCAACGAAAGTGAGTAGATCCTGAAATTGTTCAACAACAGAAAGGCAGTCGGAGCGAATCAGGAGACGGCGGGTTGCTCTTTTAATAGCACGGACAATCGCGAAGAGTTCGGTAGTGTAGGCACACAATTCCCAATGTCGTACTGGCCCACACTCCAAAACTTCTGCATTCTCAGCAACAATCGCATACGCTCCTGAAGCAAGCCAGAAATAGGTATTCCACTGCACGGATCCATCAGTCCAAACAATGTCTCTGTACTGTGGATCAAAGAGCTGGGAGGTCTCACCAGTGGAAGACACCCGGAGGCGCTGCGTCACAACTTCCCTTGGATGTGCATAGAGGCCAAACTGCGCAAAGTTGGCCCCAAACTCATGATCTGCTGGTCGTGGAAGGGCACTCGACACCCCCGTGCATTCATGCACGAGATGCTCCCATGATTCCTTGGGGGCGTCACACAGGCGGCATTTGGGGCTGTCAACCAAACCTGCACGAAACAATCGATCATTCGTGAGCTGACACCCAACCCGTACAGAATCAAAGAAAGCTTTGATGGGAAAGGGAGAATCGAAATGCAGCTTGGACTTGCGTAGAAAGAGGGAAGACAGGTCAGGATCAAGGATCCCATGACACTTGACAATGTCTTTACGGTTGTTTGAAACAGCTTCGGTATAACACTTCTGCTGGGCAAAATATTGCAAGGGTTTGGCAAAATCTTTATGGTTTAAGGCATACAAAGGGATTGGCTCAGACCCACGAAAAGAAACACTCAAATCATCAACAAGTTTCAATCCTAGGATGCCAAGACAGTGCTGCAACTGCCACAACAAAGACTCTGCCGGCCATGGTGTGGATGCCTGAAGTGCGCGGCAGACCGCAATGAAAGAGGAATGCTGGTGTAGGAATCTGACAAAATCCAGGATGGCATTGTATGCTCTTGCCATCCGAGGCTCACATCGATGCGGTTGACCCAATAACCCAAGAACAAGCATTCTCGATCTCCAATGTGGGCGATTTGCCCACAGAACATTGACAATCTCATTTTGTGTTTTCCAAATCACATGTTGGGGGATTTTGGTGATGGCCGCACCATAAGTGACTTGGGGAACCACCTTTGAGCAAATCAACGTGAGCTTGGCTTGTGTGGGAATGGGCAAAGCATCAATATTGCGAATGTCATCAATGATTTTCCCTGTCTTCTTTTTGTCAAAGTCATAGCTCTTAGACGAGTGGGTATAAATCTTGATGCCCAGAACATCGATAGTGTCAGCAACAGGAATATTGGGAAAACTCGAATGAGCTTTGGACTTGGATTTCATGTCGGAAACCCACAATTGGCACTTGGCTGGGTTAGACGTCTGACCAACCATGGAATCCCAAAAGTTTGTGGCCGTGTATGCCTGGAGCAAATTATCGAGATTGCAAATGGAGGCCCAAAGGTAAGCATCGTCGATAAATGCTTTTGCGGTAACTTGTGGAATGAGGTTCATGAAGATGGCCCAAACAGCCATGATCAGATTGACGGCAATCAATGAGAATGAGCAACCCTGCGCAACACCGTTGCTTGCAGTAGTGGCAAGGGGAGAAATCCACCCTCTCAGAGCCAAGTGTCTTTTAAGGTTGGTGTACATCTGGATGAAGAAGTGAACAACCCCACGAGGCGCACCAAAGCCCATCATCAAGGCACCGGCAATGGATGGAATGATTCTATCGAAGCACTTAGATTTGTCAAGCTTCAGTCCTACCAGGGTATTGCCGTGGCTCTTGGCCGTATCTAAATCGAGACGAAGGGTGGTATGAACGGAGGACATCGTCCGGCCCCGGATACCCCCACAGAGGTTACTCGGAATGACATTGCTTTGCCAAGCTTGCAGCTGACGGAACCTTAAACCGGTGTAGCCTAGAAGGAGAACCGGAAGCAAGGTAATGAGCCTCTTCTGCATTGGGGAGGGATCACCATTCTTATTTAGTACCATCTGCTTTGCGATCGTCAAGACCTGAGGGAGATCTGACAAGTTGTTCTCAATTTGGTTGAAGATGGTAGCAATAGGAACAAAGGCAAACCAAGGTAAGATTTGAAGTTCCTGCGTACGCCAGCCATCAAGGCCTGGCGCTGCATCGGGTTTACGCCTTTTGATTTGCTGGTGAAGGTCAAATGCAGAAATCTTGGGAACACTTGCTTCTTGAGCAAAATCAGCAACATAAGGCCAAACAACTCGAAGAATCAAATGTGGGTCTTCGTGAAGGACATTTGTTCCAAAAATCTGGTCCCACTGGTTATTGAATTCCTCAAGTGCATCGAGAGGTTGGTACAAAATGTTGCCAGCCGAATCGGTAATGAGGTTGGGGGGTTCCTCCATAGCTTTGGTCTTAAGATGTTTGAAGACATATTTCTTGTCAGCAGCAATGGATGCACGAATGCGATCTTTCCAGGATTGGATACGCTTCTTACGAGCCTCACGCGTGGCTGACAAAAGAAAATCATTCATCCACTGCAAACACAGAAAGACCTGGCAAACTTGTGGTAGAGTGTCAGTCTGCCAAACATGGGGGCAATTCCAGTTCTTTAGCCACACCGATGCCCTGCGAATCGACTTCGAAAGTGTGGTTGCATCCTCAAACGACTTGATGGGGCGGGTCAGCCGAATGTAAATCTCTCGAACAAGGTTCAGAGCTTTGGAGATCCTCTTGAGGCGAAAGGACAAGGCATCCCCAAAATGGGTTTGACCCGGAGAGATACGAGTCTCCTTGAATTGTGGAGGATTGCCCCAAGTGTGGGGGCCTTTGTCCCAACGTGCTCCATTGGTGAGAAGAACTTGGATCATGTACTGGTTGGCCACAGCCCACTGCTCATCAACCGATTGCGACCGGTCGAAACTAGAATGAAAGTGATCAGTCCACACTCGCGTGGCGTTCTCGTGGCACGGACACAGTGGGTCATCTTGGTCAGGACTAGTACACTGTGACAGGTCAAAGGGAGCAGGTCTAACCAAAGTGTGCCCGACCTGACGAATGGACTCCCAACAAAATGTGGCTCGAATCGGTCGGTGTTGGACTTTGAGGGGAAGAACCTCAATTTCCCTGAGGGCCGAAAAGGCCACATGATTGCACAGGATGGCATCGATTGAAGTGCAGTGGTCCCCTGGACCCGAAAACAGTCCGTCAAGGGAGTATGTGAGTGGCCTGTAAAGGTCACCGTTCGAATCGGCCGAACACAACGGGTCGAACCAGGAATGGTTATTGATGGCCACAGACAAACTCTTGTAATGCATTGGGTTCAATTGGAAATCACCACAAATGACAATCGGTATGGGCCCAAACTGAGAGGCACATTCGAGGATGTTGTGGAAAAGCTGATCATTCTCTGCATGAACTTCGGGGAACTTAGACGCGGCAGTTCGCGCGTATACCGAGAAAACTAACATCTTGGTGTGGGTATTGACCTGAACCCAGACAGCAACGACACGTTTTATCGCAAACAGGCAACGGTAAGTCTCGCATGATTGCTGATCGAAGGGGGATGTTGTGTGTTGGGATGCCAAAATGGCTGTCCCCCCCGATCCAGATTTCAACACTCCATTTGTTTG